CGAGTCCGGAACCACTATTCCTTTCACTTTGAAAACCTCTGGTGGAAGTGGCATTCGAAAATGGCGTGTCTCGAGCAAGCGAGCTTATTGTCTTAGGCCAACGAACGAATAACAATGGATGTCAAGACTAATACAATGCCCATTCAAGAAAACCAATCAGTTGTAAAATGGTTCACCATTGCCGCGAATTCTCAACCTGATTCAGTGCAACATCTCACTCATTCGAACCGCCGTTCAGATCTCGCAAGGAATAATGCAGAAATCGAGACCGTCAACGATCGGTAGCTCTTTTCAGAGCTCTTAGGCAACCCGATCAATACGTTGCTTATCCACAAGATGCCTCCTTTTCTGGATGTAAAAGATTCAATGTTCTGTCTTCACCGGAGAAGTAATCTGGGAATAGCAGCAAGTTTATGGCGGCCCGAAGATGGAATTTGATTTGCTGCAACGATTTAATCGAATTTTATCCATTAGAATACGAGCCGCTGAAATAATCTTGGGAACTTGTTGACAACGTAGTAGCCGTGAGCATCGGGCGCTTTTGTTTTCCTCTACTTCAAAAAGTGAACTTACTTACCCGACATTTTGGTTATTATAAGACCTAAAATCTTTCGACCACGCAGTAGATCTCGCACGCGCTGATATAAATGAAAAATTTCATTTTTAACTTACGTGTAGCGCAAGGAACAAGTTATTGTGGGCACTACGATGTGCCAATGTGTCACTCAGATGTAGACACCTTTCGTAAATCAGTCGGCTCCGTTTTTGTCCTTTATTTTTTTTACTTTAGCGTGGTCTGTTATCAGTAGCTTATCTTTTAGTTTCTCTGGCTTATTTTCCTCGATTTTGTTGACATTATTTTTCTCTTAGCACCGCATTTTTAATACATTTAGCCAGAAAGACGTACTTTTTACTGTGTTCGGGTTTTTGAATTCTTTTTTTAAACTTTTCTATTGTTGTTTTGCGTACAAAATTTAATCCCGTCGCAATCGTATCTGCTGAAAGTCATGGCCATTTTCTTAAATTTTGTTGTTAAAACAGCTCTAATCTGATCGGTTCTTTGTGGTTTCTTTTGTGTTCTCAGCCAATCAGAAGCCATTTGTAATTTGCACCCGTGTTACAAGTTTTCCACTCGTGTTACGGAAGAACTGCACTCCTTTCTCAGCCAATCAGAATTGAGTAATTTTTTCGTGTACCGTAAAATTCCGAAAATAAGCCACGGGGCTTATATTTTTCAAAGGCCCTACAGGAGGAGCTTATTTTTGGAGGGGTCTATATTCGGAGGGGCTTATGTAGGGAGGGAAATTTGCGTCTTAAAATCGATTGGGCTAGCTTTTGGTGGAAAGGAAATTTACCATTTTTGCTCCCCCGGGGGGCTTATATTCGTTGGGGCGATTTAACGGAGGGTTCTTGCGTTACGATTTTGGGGGGCTTTTATTTGGAGGGGCTTATTTTCGGAATTTTACGGTATATGATTAACGCTTTAACAGTGAACTTGATTGCCTGCATCTAAGAACTTCACCGCGTGAGATTAAAAACTGGTTGCGATGTTCATAACAAACAATATAATCCCCGATTGTAATTAGCCTACGTAGCAAGCGTTTCCGTTTAGTTTCGGAGCAAAAAAGACCGAGGAAGGGGATTTTCGGTTTTGACCACGCGAGAAATGAAACGAGAGCCATTTTCCGCGCGGTCCTTGACTCTTGTTCCTCGTTGTTTGCCCCTAAACCGCACAGAAACGCTTGCTACGCAGGCTAGATTGTAATTGGAAGTGTGGCTAAACTTCGAAATAATTTAAGTGAACGTCCGACAACTGAATCAACGTTGCTCGAGGAAGAAGTTTTGCTTGAATTTTTCCTACCAAAGGACGTACTTTGAGATGAATGTGATGATTTTCCGCTATGCTTTGTCTTGCTGGGCTGAGTTCTACAATGTTGTTTGCATGATGCATAATGTTGAATACTCACGGATAGTACCCTGGGTGCAAAAGGTCCTTCCCCCCCCCCGCCTAATTCCTGATAGTTCGCGGCGTGGTTTATTTACTAAAAAAATGCAGCAGAATGATGCTTTGTTTGGCATAGCCGTTTTGTCTGGTAATATTTAGTTTGACCTGGTACAGTAATACAAGTGTCGCGGACCAGAAATTCTTTTTATCCTGCTGACTTCTATAAACATACAGAGTGTGTACTTGTCAGGCTTCTCAGCTGACTTTTGTCCTTTTTATATGCTTGAAACTTAAAGTGTATTTTTTGGAAAAGAATTTGTGACAATTTTCCAAGTGAGCTTTCGCCCTTTTCTTCTTTCATGCATCGCAGACGCAGAGGTAGCCTGAATTTCATCTGATTACTTCTAGTTGTTATCACTCCCTCAGTAACCTCTGAATCGACCGGCCGTTAATGCCGTCCAGTGACGTCACTACTCCTTTGCTTTAATTCATGCAAAAAGTTAAACACGATTGTCAAGTGGCAAACCCAGAAATATCGTTTGGAAATGTCTGCATGATACAGAATGGCTTTACTTTTTTTCGATCGTAATTCATGTTTAACGTTCAAACTATCAACTGCATGCAGTACTCTGAACCGGTTGTAATTCCATAATCAAACTCGGTCGCAACCACGCAGTGAAATAAATACACACACGGAACACAAAGTTCAAAAACACAATGATTTGCTTAATTTAAAAGAAACTATTTGGTCCTTACTCCGAAGAAAAAAGAAAACAAGAAAACAAGAAAGAAAAGCTAATAGAATCATTACACTTGACGGTAAAATAGCTAGAATGTCAAATTACAACAATGAACATTGGTCTCAGGAACTTCGCATAAACAAAATCGCGGCCGAAACCACAAAGCGACTCTAAATGAAAAACGTACCGACTCTCCGCAATGATTCTTCATTCGCAGTTCAATTGAGCATTTCAGTTTCGAAGACGAGGGCAGTTTTGCTGTTTACGTTAAAGGTTAAAAAAGGTTAAAGGCTTGTTTATAGTGGAAAGAGCACTTAGCTTGTCCAGCTAATTTACTGGCACTCCACTCAAATATTAGAAACAAATATTCAAATACAACATAACAGGATTAAAAACCCCAACTGGCAGAAGGCAACCAGTTGGCTATTTACAAGCATGGCCGAGAATTTGAACTCGGGACGACCGAGCACAAATCCAGCAAGTAGCCAGAGCGGGACTCGAACCGGGGACCGCCGGATTGCGAGTCCGACGCGCTGACCACTCGGCCACGCTGCCTCCCTAAATTAGACGATGAAGGTTATCGAAATGTTTGAACTCCGCGAAAGCATTACAAGCGTGGCCGAGAATTTGAACTCGGGACGACCGAGCACAAATCCAGCAAGTGGCCAGAGCGGGACTCGAACCCGGGACCGCCGGATTGCGAGTCCGACGCGCTGACCACTCGGCCACGCTGCCTCCCTAAATTAAACGATGAAGGTTATCGAAATGTTTGAACTCCGCGAAAGCATACAAAGGTTTGATCAACTGAATATCAAGCGACAATCCAGCTAAACGTTCTCATGATTATGCATAATTATGCGAACGTTTAGACCATCAACCAATCAAAATCACCACCCGGTTTTCGGGTAGTGATTCAGACCTTGCTGAGAAGAGAAATCGGATGAAATTCAGTCTAACACAGAGGCATGTACGATCAAATCTCAGCTGTCAGAGTCAATAGGGCCATTTATACGAGGAAAAATAAGACGCGTCTTATTAGATAAGACATGCTCGTATAAATGGTACAGTTCGCGTCTTATTTTTCCTCGTATAAATGGCCCTAATGAAAAACAAACATACCATCAGCCCCAAACCGGTTTGGTGAGATATATGATCCTAAAATTGAATGGAAATGAGACTCGTAGCTCCTGTGACCAGAGGTCAAAGAGAGGTCATAGCGTCAAGGCATGACTGCCGTAATATGACAGATCTACGAACTTTGGTGAACTGGACATAAATGTCCCAAGAACAATTGGCATTCTGCGCGTTGTTACTGCGCTTTTCACAAACATGCGAACTCTAAAGTTCAAAAGCCGCTTTCACAATTGCGTTTTTCGCTGCCGTCTATCATAATTACGATCACAAGCAACGAACCTGGAAACACAGAAACACACAAAACGAATCAAAATCCACCAATCACAAATCACAAACCTTGACCTTTTGAACCCGTTTAAGTAAAGTTTTGTTTCCAAAGAGGTCCGTTAAGATGATTGACAGCAGCGAAAAACGCAATCGTCAGTTGGCTTTTGAACTTCAGAATTCGCATGTTTGTGAAAAGCGCAGTAAGAGCGACGGTCAGGAAATATCGAGCATCGAGTGACAAAGAGAAGAAGATACTAGAAGATAAATACTTTCTAGGCAATATCGAGGCTCGTTAAACTGACATAATTCAAAAACGAAAGTTTTTTATGCGGTGACAAAAAGTTTAATTTTGTACTTGTTTTCTGCGGCATTATTCTTCCTGTGGTATAGTTCCAAATTTTCTCAGTCTTCGTTTAATCACACATTTAGACATGCATCTAAAACATATCTGAGAATTGGCTTGAGTTCCTGAAGGTAGCCTCCAAAGGAAAGCATCGAAGTCCGGTAAAAATAGTGAAGCGCGACTAAAATAACTTATTTAACGGCTCCAAGTTTCATCGCTTCGTAAAGTAACAAAGCAAAATATTTTCCTGTTCCGTCATTTTTAGGGAATTACCATTGTCAAAGTGCTTATTTTTTAGTAAAAAGTGAGTACCAGAAGTATGGCGCGTTTGATTTTTTGTTCTTCAAAACACTGTCAGCATTCATATCGAAATGTTACCCTTCCACGAATTGCCTTGCGTTACTACTCCTGATTCCGTGACTGCCATTTTGACGGCTACGTCTCGGCAGACTCACAGGGTCCAGAGGAGTTTCGTGTGAATAAATGAATTACTTATTTAAAGTCTCACCTTGAAATATGTCTATACCTGTCGCTTAGCACGATTAATTAGCCCAATGGGATCTTTATAAATCTACTGTAAACGATTTCTTCGCTTCTTATCTGACCCAGATAAACTTTTGAAAATCAATAACCGCAAGCCATATCCTCGCTGGCGCACGGCACGTCGCCCGAACAGTGACCGAAGACCGTCGCCCGAAGGGCGACCGAGGCACGAAGTGCCGAGTAAAAGAAAGGACAAGGGAGGAAACTTGTACCACGTGACTTCGTTCGCTGTGAACCGCATCACTCGGTGACGGAAGTGAATGAGACCGGAAACGCAAAAGCAACAGACCGCTAGACTTTTGTACATTATGCTAGCATTTTTTCGAGCATTTTAGTGAGGCAAAAGCATTGACCATTAATCGAGCATTTTAGTGGCATTTTCCCCGGAAAATTAATTTTTCCGAGAAAATAAAATAGAAATTAACTTTTTGCAGGAGCTCATGCCCCATGAGCTCCTGCTTTTTAAAAGAAATGAAGAGTCGAATTCAAATTCACAAAAAACCTGTTTTTTTTTGGCTGTTTTTATGAACTTGTACACGTTGTCGTTGTTACTTGCAACACTTGCACGTTTTTGTAAGTGTAAACTTTGAAATTAATTAAAAAAACCGTTTGTATAATGAGCATTATCCGAGCATTTTAGTGACTTTTTTGGGGAGACCGAGCATTTTAGTGGGAAAAATGGAGCATTAAGGTGGAGCATTTTAGTAGGGAAGCAAAAGCATAATGTACAAAAGCCTACAGACCGCTGCTAATTCGAGAATCAAAACATCAGCTGCGGAGAGAGTTTTAAAGATCTATGCGAAAGCAACAGAGTTTTAATTGAAGTGAAGATCTTTCAAGACTGGACATTTGTTCTACGTTTCAACAGTCTTCGATGTCTTAAGCAGGTTTTGCTTGTGCGAAGGCTTCCCAGTAGTCGCAAAACGCACAGCCAAAGACGCAAGAGGTAATATAGTTGGACCACCGAAGAATGGCACAGTCGTGATGATATTACAGTTGCCTTGTACGTCCGCTCTACTCAGTGTCGCTTTTTATTGCAACAGCTACACACGACCCGTAAATCACTATTCGTAATAATTTAACATTCTCCAAACAAAACTAACAAGCTGGGCCCAGCGTGATACAGCATTGAAGAAAAAGATTACATTCACGTACTAAAGAAAATCGCTGAGTTGTTCAGATCCAGAGGGCACTTTGGAGAAAATTGGAACCCTTATTCAGCCGTAATAAAAAGCTTTACGCTTCAAAAGAGGTCAAAAGAGGGCAAATCCTGCCGACCAGAAACAATAACCACAGTAAATCGATATGTGTCATGACCTCTCAGTGTGAAACATGCGGGTAAAATACCCGCTAAAATCACAGTTGCTGTACAGTGACCTTCCAGAACATAATCTACCCAGCAGAGGAAAAAAGCTTTATTGGAACGAGCAGCATTTTGGCATGAGGCAAAAGTCGTGTAGGCTTCCCTTTCATTGCTCCGATCTTGAGCACATTTACTTTACTACGTCATTTCCGTCACCATCTGTTGCGGTGCACAGCGAACGAAAGCGCTATCTCGAAGCCGTAAATTTCGCTCGCCGAAAATAAATTTGAACGCTTTTTTAGGCCGTTTTCCGACAGTATTTGGCAAATACATAAGAATTCTAGATCAGGTTAGTAAAATCAGGCGATTTCATTCAATTCCATTTGAGTTTCAGGGATTCGAAAATCGGCCCCAAATTTGTTTCCTCCCTTTCCGTATTTTATACTCTAAGCCGATCTTGCGAGCCCTCGGTCTCTTGGTTTGCGGTCTATAGAATGTGTAACGAAACCGTAACGCGATCAAAATAACCCATTTTTTCAGAGGTTTCCGACGGGTTTTGATGTTCTAACGACAAACACATCTCCTCTGGACCCTGTGGCAGACTCGGCGACGTCTCTTCAAACGTTGGTTATGTCACGTGCTGTCACGCAGAGTCCGGCTGGTGGAGTTCAGTGTTTCAAAATGGCTAAAACCTAGTCTTTGTTTAAAAAAAGCAACTTTATTTGTAATAGGGAAACCTACAAGAAGTACGAATATCGAGCCTTTAGTGCCGAAATATCTACTTTTGTCCGTTTCGAAATTGGAAGTGTTTAGACAAAATACCGCAGGCCTACCATAAAATAGCGTAGCATAGCGTTTTACAAACTTCCTTCAATAACCGAAGCCAATTCCCAGGTGTTTTAAATGAATGTCTGAATGTGCGATTTAAATATCATGAAGAGAATTTGGAGTTATACCACATGGTAAAAATTGCCTTTAAAAATGAGTAACGAACTTGAGTTTTTGTCATCCTGAAAACCTATCCCTCATTATTGAATTATTTCAGTACGACGAGCCTCGCTATTGCCCTAAAAGTATCGTCTCGTGAAAAAAAAGGTTTTTTTTATGTTCATAGAAAGTGTCCAAATTTCTTCATGCGGCTTCGTTTTGCGAACGCGAGGAAAGTTGTGGTTAGCGAGTCTGAGACCCCGTCATCGAAAACCAATCTTCTAATTTTTCTCACAAATAAAAGGCTTCTGGCGGGAACAATCCACATCAGGTTTCTTTAATATCCACCTAAAAGCTATCTATGGACAAACAATCAAACAAATTGATTTTTTAACTCTTGCCGCGAAATTATGATTTCGCCAAATTCTTCCTGTCCGTCGCCCTTAATCTCTTCCACTGAATTCTGTTTTAGAAGGAAACATGACTTTTATGAAAGAAGATGGTGAGTACAATAATGATTATTATAATTGTGTGTACAAGTAATTTGTGTGTAGTTTGTAATACATAGTGTTGGTTCAAATTAAAATGTGAAAAAAGGTTTTTGAGCTTAAAAATGGACAAGTTCAATTTTTTTACCCGTTTCTTCAACGGCTGAAATGTTTTTAAACATTCTAGCTCAATCTGTATCAAAGTGTTTTTTTCCCATAGGAGTGTATAGACTTGCTACAAGTCGACCTCTCATAAGTTCTTAGTGGGCGAAGCGAGCTTCAACCAACCAGCTGGAAAAAAATTAAAGGACTTTTAGAAAGTCTTAGGAGTGTACAACATTCGGCAACTACTACTAAAAATTTATCTTGGGAGTAATAAAGAGTGTTGCTACTTTTAGTTTGAGAGGATTTCAATTATGTTATTAAAGTAATAGAAACCTTTTTGCTGTGTTTGCGTAATCTGATATAAATACTCGAGTGGTGGAGAGAATTCCAGAACATTGAACAAATCATCAAATCCGTCTCGGGTTTGCATTACTGACATACGAAAAAAGTTTTCTGTCGCTCAATGCAGGTAATATTTAGATGGATAGTTGATATAAAGACTACATATTTTAAATTGTTTTGTTAATTTACCAATATAGTTCCTAAGACACCTCATTTGACAACTAGATGCTGCCTACCCCTGATAGGCTGGAGACTGATAAAAGATGATAATAGCAAACAAATGAACATCCTTTTTTCAAAACACGAACCGGAACAAAACCTTTAGGATGCTTGCAATGATTCGAGCATTAATTTTTTTTGTATCCTTGTCGATAGATTCATGTAGCTGTAAAAAAGACTGGACGAAAACGTTTATAAAGTTAAAACTAAAACTCGTTTTTTGGATTGATAATTGAAAACCAGAATCAAGCGGTGCTGGGGCACTTCTCCAAGTTGTTCATATACCACTGATTCACAGTTCTTAGTTCCTTGTCACTGTTATGTCGTTTATGGCATTTGCCCTAAAACTACCATAGGTAGTTATTAAACTATTCTGAAACATTTTTGCTGAAATTAATAACTTTTGCAGACACCGGTGTACGCCTCCTCTCCAGTTGTTTCTATTATTTTGGTGATTTTGGGTGCCACAGCATTGGCAAGCAAGATGTCCAGTACATTTGTGAGGCTCTCAAAGTAAATAACACATTGACTAATTTGGATTTGAGTCAGAAGAGAATTTTTGACGCTGGTGCCCAGTATCTTTCTAAGGCTCTCAAAGTTAATAACACAGTGACTAATTTGGATTTGAGTCAGAACGACATTTTCGACGTTGGTGCACAGTATCTTTCTGAGGCTCTCAAAGTTAATAACACGGTGACTAATTTGGATTTGAGTTGCAACGGTATTTCCGAAGTTGGTGCCCAGTATCTTTCTGAGGCTCTCAAAGTTGTTAAGACAATGACTAATTTGGATTTGACAAAAAACGGCATTTCTGACGTTGGTGCCCAGTATCTTTCTGAGGCTCTCAAAGTTAATAACACAGTGACTAATTTGGATTTGAGAAGGAACAGGATTTCCGACGTGGGTGCCCAGTATTTTTTCCAGGCTCTGAAAGTTAATAACACAGTGACTAATTTGGATTTTAGTCAGAACGACATTTTCGACGTTGGTGCCCAGTATCTTTCTGAGGCTCTCAAAGTAAATAACACATTGACTAATTTGGATTTGAGTCAGAACAAAATTTTGGACGCTGGCGCACAATATCTTTCTGAGGCTCTCAAAGTTAATAACACGGTGACTAATTTGGATTTGAGTTGGAATGGCATTTCCGAAGCTGGTGCCCAGTATCTTTTCGAGGCTCTGAAAGTTCTGACCAGTTCCTCTGACCAGTTCACACTTAGTACCGTTGATTATAAACAAGTAGAGCGTATAATAGCAGCGATGCCTTCAAACAAGGCCCCCGGGATAGATAAAATTCCGATCCGTGTCATCAAAGACTGTCTTAATCCAATTGTTCACCCAATAACGTCTATCGTTAATGCATCCTTTCAAAACTGTGTTTTTCCATCAAAATGGAAAACAGCCGAGGTTACACCCATCCTAAAGGAGGGCGACCATGAACAGGCAAACAACAATAGACCCATCTCACTTCTACCAGTTTTATCGAAGGTTTGCGAAAGGGTAGTACATAATCAACTCACCTCGTATCTGCAATCAAATGACACCCTATCAAAGAGTCAAAGCGGTAACAAGAGATGGCACTCTTGTGAAACATCTGTCATTGAAACAACAGACACAATTCTTAACGCCATCGATAAAAAGAAGTTAACGGCAGTTGTACTATTAGATATGAGCAAAGCCTTTGATAGTGTCAATCATGACACGTTAATTTTAAAATTGCAAGATGTCGGAATTTCCAGTGACACTCTCCAATGGTTTCGTAGTTACCTAAGCAACAGGTCACAAGTAGTACGAATCTATTCAACGCTATCTGAGCCTTTGTCTGTGACCAGTGGCGTTCCTCAAGGAAGCATCTTGGGCCCACTTCTTTTTAGCATATATACGAACGATCTTCCATTGATCCCACAGAAATGCAGCACCCAGAGTTATGTAGATGATACGAAACTCATTACTTCCTTCGAGCTTAAAGCCAACCTGGATGCAATTGCTGATTTGGAAGACGACCTGTTTAAAATAGGGGAATGGTGTTCCAACAATCAATTGTTACTAAACCCTGGCAAAACCAAGTTGATGATATTTGGCAGCAGGCAGATGCGTGCAAAATTCCAATTTCGTTACCTTTCCTTTATGGGTAAGGACATTGTCCCTACAGACACCGCCAAAGACCTTGGTGTGACTTTGGATTCTAATTTAACTTACGATGAACATATAATTAAAACCGCTTCCTCGTGCATGTCCCGCCTTGGCCAGATAAACCGTGTCAAGCATGTCTTCGACAAACGTACACTTTTGATGATTATTAATTCCTTAGTTTTTAGCAGGTTATTTTATTGCTCCAATGTTTGGTCAAATACCTCAAAATGTAATGTCAACAAGTTACAGGCAGTGCAGAACTTCGCATGCCGCATTGTTAGCGGCGCGCGTAAATTTGACCATGTTACACCAATTCGCAAGGAGCTAAATTGGCTTTCAGTTCCCAGTCAGCTTTATTACCGGAACGCTACAATGGCTTTTAAATGTATGACCGGTCAAGCCCCTGAATACCTTACATCAAAATTCATAAAGCGAGCAGAGGTTAGCCGACGTAGCACCAGAAATTCACAGCTTTTACAAATTCCCTTTTTTAGAACAGCTGCCGGTCAGAGAACATTTTTCTATAGAACTGTGAACTTATGGAACTCCCTAGACAATTCCTTTAAACTGTGTAACTCGATTGATGTTTTTAAAACTCGTTTACGTACTAAATTACTTAAAGAATTGTAATTTTATATATATTTTAAAACATTTCTTAATTGTAAATAGGATCATGTATTGTCTTTGAAAAGCCCCTTGGGAAAGTCAATAAAGTATGTATGTATGTATTTAAAGTTAATAACACAGTGACTAATTTGGATTTGAGTTGGAATGGCATTTCCGAACTTGGTGCCCAGTATCTTTCTGAGGCTCTCAAAGTTAATAACACAGTGATTAATTTGGATTTGAGTTGGAACGGCATTTCGGAAGTTGGTGCCCAGTATCTTTTCGAGGCACTTAAAGTTAATAACACAGTGACTAATTTTGATTTGAGTTGGAACGGTATTTCCGAAGTTGGTGCCCAGTATCTTTCTGAGGCTCTGAAAGTTAATAACACAGTGACTAATCTGGATTTGAGTTGGAACAGCATTTCCGACGCTGGTGCCCAGTATCTTTCTGAGGCTCTCAAAGTTAATAGCACAGTGGCTAATTTGGACTTGCGTTGGAACAGCATTTCCGACGTCGGTGCCCGGCATCTTTTTGAGGCTCTCAAAGTTAATAACACAGTGACTAATTTGGATTTGAGTGGGAACAAGATTTCCGACGCTGGTGCCCAGTATCTTTCTGAGGCTCTCAAAGTTAATAACACAGTGACTAATTTGGATTTGAGTGGGAACAAGATTTCCGACGCTGGTGCCCAGTATCTTTCTGAGGCTCTCAAGGTGAACAAAACAGTGCATATATGGGGTGAGCGTTTAGCTTTGGACACCACTGGCCATCATGGAGACTCCCAAGATCTTCCTGAGGCAATGTCGCGTGCCCTACAACCATTTGACGCAAAAGGTCAACACGAGTAAGTACAGTGTCGTTAGTCGAGTTAGTTGTGTTTTACTAGAGAGAACATAAATATTTTTGATAATCTTTTTTAAGCAACATCCGTCAGAAGATACAAGAGAACTACTTGAGAACGTTTTTCGTTAATGCTCACTACCTTACGCAACAAAACTATTTCGAAATCAACGTCTTCTCGTAAAGAAAACCCAATCCCTCTCCCCTAACGTAGCTTCCTACATTCCGGCCCCGCCAGGGATGGGGCTCTCCGTTAAAGACACAACACTGCTTCCAGGTGGAGGCGGAGGGGAGGGAAGAATCTCTACTTCTATGATTTTTAGTAAAATACTCTCCGAGTATGCAATTTTATTAAGAGTTTTGTCCAAGGTTGTAGAACATCATTCACGAGATCAACCATGAATAGCCTAAGAGAAAAATCTTTTGACAAAAAGCGCCTTTAAGAAATTAAGAGAACTCTACATGAAGATTAACCGTCTTTACATTGTAAACACGGTGCATATATCTAGGTTATTTCTAAGGTTGCCCCTGGCGGCTTTATAAATTGAGGGTAAGCGTTAAGTCTTTGATATAAACATTATTTAAAACTCATTTTCGCATGAAAGCGCCCTAACAATAATTATTTACTACGAGCTCTAATTCGAAGGCACCATTTTTCAGTCAAATTTTTGTTATAAAATACGAAGTTTCCAAGATGGACTAAACGAATCGGTTTTCACGTTACGTTGATAGCGTTTACATGATAGGTGGGGTGACCAGCCATATGTTACCTCAGCTATCTGGGGTCCCCCACCTCCATGTAAACAGGCCTTTAAACGGACTACTGCGCAACAGAGGGTTAAAAGAAAAAGAGACCACGCCAATCGACGTAATATACATGTTCGACAAATTTGGCACCTTACGGACAGAGTTTACCCTTTAGAGAAATACGATGAGAAAGATTTTTAATTGCGTTTTCGTCTTTTTGGATAAAAGTCTTTTAAGGTCTGCTGTTAACTTCGATGCGGCAAGTTCTAATTACTTTTAGATTTTCTACAACAGGAACTTTCGAGGAGGTCATTAGCGATTTATTTGGTGTTTCTGTATTTGCTACTTGCACAGTCATTCAGAAGGTTCAAGGGCTATCGCGAAATGACCGAAACGAAAAGAACATATTCTGTCATTCACTGAGAAATTGGCTAATACGAAACGGACGACGACGACGCTTCGCGACCGAGGCAGAATGGGCCGAGGGTTTTGTTTTCGGCGGGGAAAACGAAGTTTAAGCAGTGCAACTTCCCAGACAGACGACGACTTTTTCTTTCCGAAGAACTTTGTCTTGTTACAGTCTTGTTATGGCATTCAAAGACCTCCGTAATTTGCAACTTATAAGCTTGATGACGATGATTTAATCGACGATGTGGAATTTATTGTTGTTTACGACCTGAATTATTCGATTATGGAGGCTTTCTCTTCGTCACACAGTTTTTGTTTTGTGAACAGCTCTTGACTTGCAGTTACGCTAAATTTCGGCTGCTGAAGAGAATTAAGTTTTGCTGCAATGTTCTTCCATATTTTTCCTCTCTCAGGGTTCCTCATAGCCACATCATGTTCCACAGTCCAAAGGAAAATAGTTGCCTTTACTAGCGGCTAAAAACAACATGGGAAATTATTAAGTTTTAATTTAGTACGAAAAAATGAAAATTTATCCTATAGTACAACGTAGAATGCACGAGTAAATATACACCGTAAGGGAACGAACAGTATCTAATCTAAAAGGTTCGGAAGATAGCAGAGGAAAACTTACTTGTCTTTCCGACTGGTTGTTCCGTCATCACTCATGTTTTCGAACAAACCAGACCTGAAAAATAAATTCAAGTTAGCAGGCGAAGGAACCGACAAAGTGCTTATCATTTGGATTCTGCTACTTTACAAAGAATATATTTCTACTTGCACTGAATGACAAGTGGGAAAAAGAGTGATTTACACGCAAAAAGTATAGTTTTATAGTTACGTTTTAGCGACGACGGCAAACCTCCCTGAATTTCGTCGTCGACGAAGGCTGGACGACGTTTTGACAACCTTACGCATGCCCAGAAGGTTCGCGTGGGAAAATTTCACTTCCGTTCGGCGTCGTCGTCCCATTTCATCGTCTATACTTAAGGTCCCGAGTATCATGAAATAAACAATTTTGGGGGGCGTTCGAAAATTACTGTACTCCTGACTGTCTTCCTTTTTCGTGATTTTTGCTTCTTTCCACCTCCTGACTAGTTTTTCTTGCTTCATGACGTTGCAAATCGTCACGTGTTCTTTCTTGGATTTGAGTTTCAGCCGCCTCCAGCATCCTGGGATCTGGTTCATTTTCCGTTTGAGTCTGTCTGGGATTTGAAAGTTAATTTTTTTTGCAAAGTTTTATAGTCTTATCCTTCATTTTTCACTTTTGGAATTCTCTTCCCGATTCCGCCATCTTTGCTAAAATTAGTTGTTCGACCGGGTTTGGAGACCATATATTGAGTCACAAATTCCCATGGGGAAATGTGCAAACAAGCAACCTACAGACAATGCCATTCCTTGTGAGACGTTGTTTAGCCATTGACGGAAAAAACACGGCTCAGTTACGTTTTAATTATGTATTTTAAACATAGTTTAACCGGTGTTTATCGAGACAAAGTCTAAACCGCGGCTGGCTCGGGCTTAAACACGGGTTAACTCAGACTTAGGCTAAGTCTTATCGTCGGCTATGTTAATCGTTGCATCCCTATCTTGCATTTCATATTATTCAGAGACTATTTGGAACAACAAAAGATACGGGGGAGAATTCACGATACATCCTCTGAATACTCTGACGAAGATAAAATACATTTAGATTAACTTCTCTGCAGGTGCGCCAAGTGTGATGTCAGTCCTAGAAGAATTTTTTTAAATACCCGTCTGATAGTGCAAGCTAAAAACTCACTACTATTGTCATGATCTTGTTTAATGCCAGGTCAAAACTTCTAACTGACTATGAAAGCGATTATTAACAGGGGCAGCTATTATGTTAATAACGCGTCTCTCTTTACTAAGGCTAGAGCCGAGTCAATCTTAATAATAATAATAATGAACTTTATTAAAGTCTCATGTCTTATAGCTCAGGCACAGTGACTTTTTTTTTTTTTATCTTTAATAACATTTATTCAATCGACAATCAACAATCAAAAATACTTACAAACACTACGATACTTACACTACTTACAATACAATATTTAGAATACAATAGACTAAGGTACTTACTCTGTTTACAATGTAAAGACTTACAATACTCAGTACTTACAACACTACCTACTCACTACTCGCACTACAATGCACTATTTACAAGCAGTTCTAATTAGTAATTGTACTTCAAAACCAACATTTACAAAACCAAACATTCACGGTAAACGCACTTATATCTTAAGTGTCTTAAAGAGGCAGCGATTGTGAAGCAAAAGATACACCAGGTTAATGCTGGAGAAAATGAGCAGAGGATCGAGATATACAAATGTATACAAAATCAAAGGCTTACTGAAATAAGGAGCTCACATTTTCCCATTTTTTTGGTAAAATGGGACCTGCAGTGGTCTCTATGTGGTAGAATGATTTGAGGTATTGCAGGAAGCCTGCTATCTTTGGCGAGGTTTCCCTTCTTTTGCTAATCCAGATGTAATTTCTGGCTAGAAGGAAAAGGAAATTAATTTGCTGGCAGTTTTTTGAAGAATCCGGCTTTAGACCAAGTGCAACAAATATATCTAATGTGTAATGTTCCGGTGTAATGTGGAGCAAAGTCAGCTTAAGAGATAAACTATGCCAGAAAAAGGCCACTTTAGGACAAGACCAAAAAAGATGAAGAAGTTTCTCCGGTTCATTATTACAAAAAGAACAATTTGGGTTGTCTTTTACGCCAATTTTTGTTAAGAAGTCGTTCGTTGATATTCGTCTATGTAAAAATTTATATTGGAATTCAATAATTCTTGTACTTTTAGTATATTTAGCGGCCAACTGGTAGGCTTCCCGCCAATTAATCGCCTCCACATCATTTTCGTTGCAGTCTTTTAGCCATTTCTGTTGATTATGGGATGGTAACTTGCATTTTGTAGAAAGCAACTTGGTGTATACAAGTTTGCTCGCACTTTGGCATTCTGTTAATCTTACTACAAAGGTTTCATAATTGTTGCAGTTTTTGATACAGTTTGTTTTACATGTAGTCCAAAGAGATTTTAGAGCAGACACTAGTCCGAAATACTTTAAAAGACAAACTTTGAGGCTGTATTTTTGCTGCAGCTCAGCTAGTGATAAAAATTTGTTATGTTCATCTTTCAAATGTTTCACTTTCGTAACGCCTCGATCAAACCATTCACGATAGAAGACGGGGCAGTTATCGATTCTAATGAGTGAGTTGTACCATAAAGTTTGTTCAAGAAATTGTTTCTCGGACGTTATGTTTTCATCAAAATTGACTTCCGCCCAGATTGAAAGTATCTCTTTTATAAAGTTATTCTTAATCTTGAGATTCTCAATGGTATCTTTCTTGTTTAAATTACTAGTGAGGACTATTGTGCCTCCAAATCGCTCTAACTCTATATCAAAAAAATATTTCCATTTTCCCTGGTTCTCTTCATCCAGATATTTTTTAATCCATGTAGCTTTCAGGGACTTGTTAAAAGACTGTATGTCTATCATTTTAAGTCCTCCATTAGCATAATCGTTTGTTATAATGTCTCGTTTGATTTTATCTCCTTTTCCATTCCAGAGGAATGAAAAAAATAACTTGTTTACTTCTTTGATAATTTTCACATTTGTATGTAAAGGTGAGAGCACATAAACGAGCTGAGAGGCAACCAGACTTTTTAGGACCGTTATCTTTCCAACTAGGGTAAGTCTACGGTATTTCCAGCAGCTCAAAACATTCCGGACCTTATCTAGTTTTTCATTATAATTTAAAGTTGCAGTTGCTTCCGGATCATTTGAAAACCAGACACCTAAAGCTTTAACTTTACACTTCGGCCATTTAAAGTTTCTTCCGACAATTGATATTTCATCTTTGTTACAATTTGCCCCAATCCAAAAGGCTTCTGTTTTTTTGTCATTAAGTTTTAAGCCAGAGACTTCATAAAAATCGTCCAGTGTTTTGAGAGAGGCTATTAACGATTCCTTTGTTCCATCTAGTATAAGAGTTGTATCGTCTGCATACTGACTTAGTTTTATTTCTTTACCGTTTACAAAGATCCCTTTAATACTTTTATTTTCACGAATTGCCTTAGCTAAAACTTCTACTGCCAGAACAAACAGATAAGGTGAGAGGGGACAGCCTTGCCTTACACCTTTTTGGATTTCAAAAAAATCACTCGCCCAACCATTATTCAAAACGCAGCTTTCTGGGCAGCAATAGAAAAGGTTTAGCCATTTTAAGATGCTACTACCAAAACCAAAATGTTGAAAGGTTTTCCTAATGAAAGGCCATTCTATCGTGTCAAAAGCTTTTTCAAAATCTAAAAACAAAAGTAATCCTGGTATATTGTTTTCTTTAGCGTAGCAAATAACGCTATCGATAAGGCGGATGTTTTCTCCGATAAAACGACCTCTTATAAAGCCAGTCTGGTCGTAATTAATGAGATCAGGGAGGAGAGGTTTCAAGCGATTAGCAATTGATTTTGCCGCTATTTTATAGTCGCTGTTCAGGAGGGTTAGGGGTCTCCAATTCTTAATAAAGAACGGTTCTGCGTCTTTCTTAGGGATAAGTTTGATAATTCCTCTTCTCTGGGTTATTGAGAGTTTTCCAGTTTCATAAGCGTAGTTCAGTGCGCTAATTAGGGTGCTGGATACATCTTTCCAAAACACTTTGTAAAATTCGGCTGGTAGGCCGTCGGTCCCAGGGGTCTTTTCTGATTCCATATCTCTTAAAGCCTCAAGGCACTCTTTTTCAGTTAAAACTCCTTCGCACGAAGTTAATTCATGTTCGTCAATGGCTCTTTCATCACCACCCTCAAAGAAAACAGTTGTACCATCTTGGTTGTATGTGTTACCTTTGGATGAGTAGAGATTTTTATAGAACGCCACACATTCAGTTAATATTTTTTTATCCGAGGTGACAAATTCGCTATCGTTTATTTTAATTTGACTTATTGTCCCTTGCTTGTAGTGTCGTTTTTCTAAATTAAGAAAATACTTGGTGTTTTTCTCTCCTTCATTATACCATTTAGACTTAGATCTCAAAATTGCGCCTTTGGTGCGGATTTCAATTATCTTTTCAAGCTCAAGCCTGCTTTCATTCAATTGTTCCTCCAGGTGTAAGGAGTGCATTTCATCGGAGTTTTTATTATCGAGATCCGCTTCTAATCTGGCAATTGTTTGTTCCAGAAATGTTTCGCGTTGTTTAGCTTGCTTTGTTTTGCTCTTGGAGTAGCGGAGCGATTTTTCGCGCACTTTTAGCTTTATCATTTCCCAAAGAAGTGAAGGATTTACCGATTCGTCATTTTTGTACTCATCGAGTGTTTCCTGAATCGTTGTTTTAATTTGGTTTACGTAATCCAATTCAGTTAAAAAAGATGTGTTTAGTTTCCAGAAACCTGGTCCACGTAGATTTGAATGTAGTGATAAGCATAACGTAGTCATTGAGTGGTCGGTTTTATAACCTGGGACGATATCTGCGAGGGTCGTGATGTTAACTGTGCTTTGGCTTACTAGAAAAAAATCGAGCCTACAGTGTACTTTTGGATGACGTTGTCTCCAGGTAAATCTACTAGTGTCTGGGTGTAGAATCCTCCAGACGTCTACCAGATCTAGTTTCTCAGAGAATTCTTGAACAACTTTAACACTATTTTGGTGAGTTTTAGTAAGACCACCCATCTTGTCCTTCTCTAAATCCAGTACAAGGTTGTAGTCGCCTCCTATAATAATATCATCACATTTGAAATCTGCAAGGTGATCAAAGAAGTCAAGGAAGAAAGTTGGGTTGTCTTCATTAGGAGCATATATGTTCCCTAAAGTAAAACACTTTTCATTGGTTTTAATGTCGCAAATAATGAAGCGTCCTTGGGGGTCAGTGTAAGTTTTTTCTATTTGAAAATCGAAGTTGTTGTTGAAAAGGATGCATACCCCTGCTTTATTGCTCTTATAAGTACTAAAAATAGCTTGATAGCCCCATTCAGCAGACCATACGTGATTAGTATTTTCAGTGCAGTGGACTTCTTGTAGCATATATGCCGAGTAATTTTTTTTGCGAAGCCAATTAAACACCTCTCTACGCTTTGTATTGTCTCTTAATCCCCTGACGTTTAGTGATGCTATTGTCAAAGCCATAGATATTCTCTTGGGCAGCTTTGCAGAGGAAGCCTTACATCACCTGGTGTCAAAGCTCCACAATCACTGCACGGTATGATAGGAATTTGTACTAGGCGTTTACTTCTAAAACAAATGATTAAGCTATTAAAACATAGAAACCAAACAGAACATGCACAGATAAACACAACTAAATAAGAAACCTCTTCGTAAAGGGACATGGGGGGGAAGTTAGGACTTTTACCTAGAATCTTACAGACAGATAAGAAAAACCGAAGCGCCATCTGTTACGAACCTCTATTCCGATCGCCTAAATAATTATCTAGCAATTGATAATAACGGGTGGCAAATGTGGTCAAACGATACTAACGTGATCTTGGTTACCTAATGAGTAATGACATGATGAAGAAGCATTCTCACCTATCCTGGTATCTCGAGAGGTTTACCAACTGGCCAAATTTTACCTTTTATCAAGAGCTTATCCGGTTGTGCCCGACTAAAAGATGCAGGGATGTTATTTTTCCTAGCTTCTTTAAAAGTGTCCATTTGCTTTCTTCTTCTTGCTACTATTTCGTAGGGTAGATCTTGATACATTTTAAATCTGCTTCCTCGCAAACGGGAGCCCAAAGCTAGAATTTCTTCACAGTTCTTATAGCGGAGGAACCTTGCGATAATTTGCCTGGGCTTTTCTTCCTTCTTCTTTCCTAAGCGATGAACCCTCTGTATTTCAACGGTGCTTGCATCTTTGTATCCTAATTCCGTCTCGAGGAAGGTGCGAACAACTAATTCAGTGTCTTCTTTGTCTGTTTCTTGCACAATATTTTCAAAAATTATATTTTCCCGCCTCGAGTAGGCTTCCAAATAGAGATTCTTGTCTTGTACCTCTTTAAGCTTAGCTTCTAAAACAACATTTTTCTTCTGCAAATCGGTTAAAGCGAGATCTGTTTTCTCCTGGTAAAATTTTAGGCTCGCTGTCGAATTCTGCTGTTGCTTCTCAGCTTTATTTAAGCTTTCTTTCAAGTTCTCAATGTCGTGGCTGGCGGTTGTTTGCGAATATTCCAGCTTCTGTATTCTTCCTTCCAATTTTTGAAGGGACGTTTGGACTTCATTTACTGTTGTTTGGATAGCGTCTAGCTTTTCCAGCTTTCGATTTATCTCCTCCAAAGCTTTATGAAAACCTTCGGCCATGTTCAAAACCGTAAAGATTTCGTCTTCAACCTCGTGCTCCTCGACTTCTTCAGGAGAGTTTACTTCATCACTCCTCGCTTTTTTTGCTTCTGGTGAAGTGCTCGACTCCTCTGAAGAGGAACGCTCGCTTCTTTTCCTTTCCAAGATCTTTTTCAACAGTTCTTCCATTTACCACCCGGGAAAAATAGGATATGTGGCGGACGGATCAAGGACACGTCTTACGCCATTGCTACCCAGGCCCCTTCCCAGGCACAGTGACTTACTATTTGGGGAGACTGTATCGTATATATAAAACTCTACTAATATATTGCAAATTCTAATTCTAATTTAAACTCTAAATTCTAGTTCTAAGAAATAACTACCTAATAATATCTCTGAATCGTAAATTGAGTAACTCTAAAAAAAAGTAAAATGGTGAGGCGAACTAATGCTAACTCTTGCAAAGGACACAGTCGTTACACGTGTCATCTATTAACGAGGCAATGTCTGTCTTTCTGAGTGTAGGTGCTGATCTTAGCTCCAAGTTAATTTTGGACCAAAGAAGTGGCCCCAAATGCCTGAGAGCGTGTTTGCCGCATTTCGTAATGTTGAATCATTCTTGTCTGAAGTCTGCGTTTCTGAGGTTATAGTTTGTGTGACTAGTGTTAAATAGTTCGGTTACTGAGCTTGGCAACGTGCCGTGCTTTATTTTGAACATGAAAATGGCTATATCCTGAGGCCTCCGATTATAAAGTTTTGTCATTTTTGCTCTGCTCAGGAGGTCACCGTACGATGCGGACCAGTCATTGTAGACTGTCCGCAGGCCCCTTTCGTTAATGCGCTCCAGTTTTCGCCCGTCACTAGCCTTACAGAAGTGCCAAACGTGACTACAGTATGTGAGGTGTGGCATAACGGCTGTGTTATAGATTGTTAGTTTTGCTGTTGTGAGAATCAGATTCCGTTAATCTAGATAATACGCCAATTCTTCTGCTTGTTTTGGTGCAAATTTGCTTAATATGTTCCGAGAACTGTAGGTTTACATCAAGTATCACCCCCAATAGTTTAATCTCCCGAGCCTGCCGAATTGTATGGCCATCGATGTGCATCGCTTTCTTAACTTCCTGCTTGGCTTGACATGACCAGTACTCGATATTTCGATGGATTACCCGAGAGGTAGTTGGATTTATACCAGCGACCAGTTGTATTCCCGTTCTCCTCAATCTTCTCACCCGAAATATATATTTGGTGGTCGTCAGCGTAAGCACTCAGTTGAGATCGAATGTTTTAATAAAACAGATCATTTTGATAAAAATTCCACGATACTTTGCCAAGTGATGACCCCTGGGGGCATCCACGTTTGACTGCTTTCCATTCTCCACAAGTGTCGCCTGGTCGCACCCTGTTTTTCCTGTTAGTAAAATAAGACTTAAGAAGAGCCAAGGAGTTGCTACATAGACCATAAGCTTGGAGCTTTGAATGCAGTAGGTCAGATTAGGGGATAAACAATCAAAAGCTTTGCTCATGTCAGTAGATAATACCCCAACTGTGTGGTTGTTGTCAAGAGACCTCTTCCAGTCTTCGACCAGACGCACTAACGTAGTTTCGCAACTATATCGCTTACGGCATGCTGAATTCAAGCCGTCAAAGGCTTTGTTAGATAGAGGTTCGAGTTGTCCTGCGAGTAGCTGTTCTTTTAAAATTTTAACGTCTGTTAGTCGCAAATGTGCAAAATTGCCCCGGGTATGGGTTTCGATGGAAACAACGTGAACACGCCAGGATTATTTAAGCAAGTGCAACACGCGGAAAGTATATCTCTTGTAAGACTAGAGTTTACAATTTGTAATGATAATGCTGCAAGCAGATACTGGGCAGTAAAACATCGTCTGAAAAACGATTAACTAACATTCACATTTTACTTATTACAGACCCTGTTATTGGATCAATTGATAGCTGTCGGATTTGGATTTGGATTTACAGTCATACGAAAATAATTTGAAACTTTTAGCAGGGGCGTAGCTAGGATTTTTCCAAGGAGGGGGGGGGGGGGGGGGGAGGGATAATACTGTTTCACAACCCGGGGTACTTCCAAGATTGGGTTGTTGCCATCCACCCCGGGTTTCACTAAAGTAATTCTATTCTTATTTTTTTGTTTTGCGTCTGTTTTTGTAGATTTATTGTCTTGTTGTGGTTTTGTTTTATGTTTTAAAATTATAAAAAAAAAATTATGATTTTGTGGGGGGGGGGGTGTTGGTTTTTTGAGGGGGGGGGGGGGGGGGGGAGGGGAAGGATCATACTGTGTCACAACCCAGGGTACTTACCAGATTGGCTTGTTGACATCCACGCCGTGTTTTACTAAAGGTGACATTTTTTTTCGGATGAGCAGTGAGCGTGGGGGAAGGAACAAGCCTCCTAAATTGCTGCATAGATGAAAATTAAGTTCACGTAACATAAAATTACTCTATTTTAGTCTCACTGCTCATCAGTCAACATAGTCGGCGTTGGTGCTGATTTCATCAATGTCGATCGCTCTACCATTGTGGATATTCATCATTGCCAGACCCGACTGTCTCTCCGTGGTCATGGCTCTTTCCTAACTACAGTGGAACCCCGCCTTACGGCCACCTCGATAATACGGTCACCTCGTTATTACGACCACTTTTTTTCCGCCCTGCAAACGGCCATACATTTTCTTATTAAAAAAAACCCTCGTTAATGGCGGCACCCATTAATACGGCCAACAGCCACATCTTAAAATCCCAGACAGTAGAATCTGTTATAATTTCACACTGTCTATAGGCCACTTATCAGAAATTTAGAAAATTAAACAACGGTGACACGTCAATATCTTTGACCTAGTAAACTCAGCCTGTTCAATTCCTGTATTGTTTTTTGACTGCTATTCACTTTTAAGTACTCAAAAAATATGCCTGTGGGGGCTTAGTAGCCGAAAAGTGCTTTATGTACTGGAGAAAAGTTTCAAGTAGTTTTTTTTACGCAAAATCTACATTCCGGTTGTTTATTAAAGAGAAGCAGTTGTTCAAGAAGTGCGAATGCGGGCCTCGGGCAGATAACACCCTCCTCGATCTCCTTAATTCTTCAGATGATATGAAAGCCGAATTCAATAATTGTTTAATTATTCATTCAAAATAATTCCTACTTTGAAAAAAAGCTTCAAGTTTTTAAGTTTCAAGTTTATTCATTATGATCATATATAATTTTTTTTACACTCATCGTTTTGCCGTCTCCGCCCGCGAATAGCAAGAGCTAGACGAGGCGATAACGACTGTTTACAATCAATCCGACTGACCTGCAGGTAGCTAGACCAATCGAGGCAGTTCAGGCTCACAAGGTCTAAATATTACAGATTTCAAAAAAGAGTTTGAAAAAAAGAGATTAACAAAGTAACAGTTTTGCAAAAACAAAGAGAAACGTATAAGTAATATGGTTCCATATCAAATCAAAGGACGAAAAAGTTAAGCACTGTCAGTTTTTGTATTTTTGCATTTAGTTCGCTAATTTTATTTCTTAAGGATTTGTTTGTCTGTCTTAGCTGTTTAGTCTTCTCTCTGGTCATTGCGTTACCGTCGAGAAAATCTTAGAATTCAGTAGTTCGCGGAACTCTTATGAACTTGACCGCTCAGCTCAAGCGCACGCAAGCTAAAACATGCTTACTTACGCATTCTCTAAGGTTGACTGAGGCACTGTTTAGAAGACTTGATTTGTCAGCTACTTCTGACGATATGTGACGCCAACAAACTAGCTCAACGTCAATGACTCGTTGACACAAGATCATCTCGGTAAAATTGAATTGCTGCACCTATTGTCGTGTTACTTGAGTTGATCAGTACTTTAGGTATCAAACACATCAGTTTGGATTATATTGCATTGTAACTGAGCGTTAGACTAAAACGACCTTATGTAACTATAATTACTCTAAAACGAAATGTAAATAAAGCTTATTGTTGTTGTTTTGGAGGCATTCATCTGGCTATCACTGAAATAGGTGTCCATCTGGGCTGTCAGATGGTCCATCAGGAAAGCACAGTGAACTCTGGAAGTACTGAACAGGTGTAGAAGCTCGAACGTTATCACGATGAAGTATGTAACTATCTAGCACTGGAAAAGATTTATAATATTGCTTATCGATTCTTCGGATTCGCGCGTTGTCGCCGACTGAATTATAGAGACATAAAACAATTATCTCACAAGGGTTGTTACGGGCACTCCAGGACCCCCTAGCCAAGCCCCTGGTTTGGGCGGCTACAATGTGGGAAACGTAGCGTAATTAGACTGACGCAAAAAGAATGTTAGGATTGAAAATTACGTTATGATGCCACCGATGGACATACTTACTAACGTCATCCTGACCAATTTAAATCCAGATTGTAAATAGTGACAGGACCTCCAAGCAACCGCAGGAGGCTCAAATGCTAAATTGACGGGAAATCTAACTCGGTGCAGGCAGATAAAGTTCTTTATTACAGGATTTCTAAAGTCTTCTTGCAAGATATTATCAATTTAGTTCGCAAATACGTCACAACGTACGAAATTGACTTTCAATATCACTAGTGCAAGCTGAGTTGTTTTCACTTTAAGGAACATAAGTCAGGCTGTCCAGGATGAATTATGATGTAGTTATGAAAACAAAGTTGAGGGCACATGGGGCTACCGGCTAGGGAAGGGTGAAAAAACGACAATTTAGTCCGACTATTCTCCGCCTTGAAATGACTGGGCTGTTTTCCGTGCTCAAAATGACGAACGCTTCCCCATCTTTTTCTCCCAACATTGTCTTAGCCTGGGCCAGGCTGTCGGTCAGTGAAGAAGAGCGAAAAAAGCGGGCGAGCAGAGAAAAAGCGATCGAGCAGTGAAAACGCGAGAGAGCGAAAAATGGCAAGAAGAGAGGAGGGGAAAATCTGTATGCCTCTTTACGAAAACCACAGTCCACCAACCACTACCCCGCCCACGACCAGAAAAACCGTTTACAGACTACACTTACCCCTCCCTCCCCAGCCTCCACGCGGTTTTCGAGCAACTTTTCTCGATAGGTTTTCCTGCTATCATGGAGCCTGGAAAAGGATAATATTACCTCGAAACCTGTAGAAAGTTTTCTTTCTCAAACTGGACCTTCCTTACCAACAGAAAATTTAAAATACATATGAAATTATTAATTTGGGAAGGTGTTGATCGTTGATCGTTTATTAAAAGCAATTCAGTGTCTTAGTTTGCAAACAAGCATGGGGCCACCAAATGAATGAAACTGCCAACTTTGTAACAGTGGCTAATGATCACCAGCTGGATTGGTGACACGCGATAAAAAAAGATTCCTCTTTAAGATCTTGTTGAACTTTTGTGCTAGATTTCTTTTTATCTAATTCTTTAGAACCAAGTCAAGGCTCTTGAAGGCCAAAAAGTCTGACAGAAAGTCAAAGCCAAGAAGTCTGACAGAAATAAACTGGTAAGTATTAAATAGTACTGGTATGTCAATGAGAGGACTGCAAACTACTTGCGAGCGGGCGAGCGAGCGAGCGATGCAAGTGCGCTTGAGATAAGACGGAAAGACGAGGAGGGACCAAAGGAACGTCCTGTCTCTCCAGATCGCCTCTCGGCTAGATTACTTTCTTTGAGTCCTGCCACGTCTAGAGTCCATAAACTGAAAAGGGACTAGTTGCAGTCTCAGTCTAGTCAAGGAATATTACAAAAAATGCATACATTAAATTTAAAAGCGAGTGGTGGAATGAACTACAAGCCTATTCATTTCATTCGCTGTATGTAAGGTCAATGTATGTAGACTCGTGTGAATTTTTTTTCTGCTATCCAATGGCAACCTTTTTTGAGAAAAACGTGAAAGGAGTTTGGCAATGCCCCTCCGTTTATCCTTAGATCATCAGAAATGAACAAACAATGGACAAGTGTCAATAAAGAGAGAAAGGTAAAATCTGCGCAATGACCAAAGAATCTTATGCTTTCGGGTTGGTCACTGTCACGTATAACTGGCCTTGACATTAAGATTCATGCCGCCGTCATCGATGCCACACATATGGAACATTTATGGGCCGACTACGGTACCCTAAAGCTACCAACTTGAAAGATGACCGTAACATGGACGTTTATCATCAAGTTGAACACGGGTTGCAGGCTCCACACAAAGTAAAAAAGGTCATTTCACATTGGTTACCCTGTGGTGTGGACGGACGGGCGTAAGGTCACATGACTACAAAAATTTCTCGGATGCATGGATAATCAAATTTTCTTGCCAAAGGTGCCCCTGGGAGACGAGAGCTTCGCTACAACCAGCATGCTTTCAATGTAACTGCTGTTTTATTTAATTTTAGGTAAATGTGGCTGGTGACATCTTCATTTGATTTATCTTTCTTGGAACGACTAAATTAACTCGAGTTGTATGTCAAGAAAGCGACCCCAACTAACAACCAAGGCTTTCCATTTAGGCAAAATTTCCAGTTTTTTTCCAGTTTGTGCAAAATATATGCATAACACTGTCAGCTCACCCTATACTGCTGTAAAGACACTTCAAAGTGAGACGTATCTACAAAGTCAGAAAACGTATAATTTCGCAAATTTTGTAGGTGCCTTTATGGAGGACAGGGAAACTTGCTGTCAATCATACAACCATCTTTAAAATTGTCTATACACGTGATCGTGCGTCTACCAGTTCTATATAGTTAATTAAAAGTTCGTCAAACATGTCTTTCTTGATGGAGCCCTGGGGTATTCTTCAGGAAGTGTAAATAGTAATATATAAAAAATAAACAGTTAGAAATAGAAAGAAATATCTTGTACTTTTCGCGTGTAAAATACCAGGTTGATCTGATCTTATATATCTTGTATTGGTATTGTAACAAGGTATATTCATGTAAATAAATTGTCCTATAACCCCCTACAATTAAAGCAGCGTAATAGTTAAAGTACAGACAGTTAAAACCTCCCTTAAACTATCGCAGGTCTTTTTATTTGGAAAATAGCAAAACAAATGTTTCTGCTGTGAATACCAGAAGTGGCTGCGTTGCACACTTTTTGTTTCAATAACAAGGTTAAATCTCAGTCACTCCTGTACTTACAACAAAAAGAAAGGTATACCAGCAAGCTTTATATAGGAACAAAGAAAATCAAGGAACTGTTCATTATAGGAAAAAGAAAGGAAACTTCGCCTCATTTTCCAAGGTTTTCTTAAGTGTCGCGTACAAATTAATCACTTTGACAGAGAACTCATTGCGATATTCTTCGCTGTCTCAGCGGCCACTTGGGGATCTTAAAGGGAAGCTTGGGGCGTACGACTTTTTCTTTTTCCACCTCGTTTTTCCTTCCCGTTCCTTTGTGACCTGGATTATTTAACTGTTCCGGCAGAAACTTCTGACTGAAAGGACAGGATAGGTCACCCTGTTTTACGTTGTTGGAAGAACCAGCACGAGGATTATTAAAACACTCTGTCGGACAGGTATCCACACAAATGGGGATAGTTTCAGAATCCTTTGCAGCTGAAACTTCATCGTTTTTCATCACAGAAATAGCTTTGATCAGCAATTCTTTTATGTTTTCATCGCTTGTTAAGACAATTTTCAGTTGCTCAATTCTGGATAGTAATTCAATGGGCTTGACATTCAAGGATTTGGCAAGCTCATAAATCTGCGATTGAAGTGGCATCATCTCTTCCTCGATATCTTTCAAGTAACATTCTAGTCTGAGATAGTCGTCGTAAACCCCTTTAAAAGAATCATTTACAGCACATGTTTCTTTAATACTTTCTTCCAAACGTTGTCGTGTTTGCATCTCTTCTCGTCTGCTATCAGAACAGGCTTTCATCATTTTTCTCCTGCAGTCGTAGAACTCTTCCTCTACCTTTTTCATTTCGTTTTTCAGCTCATTTATCTCTTTCTCTGCAGTATGCTTGGTTTCGTTTAGAGTAAGACCAAACCGAACTCTTTCTAAGTTGATCTTTTGCTTAAGAGTTGCAATATGTTGCCGCAATTTGACAATTTCTTGGTCTTTCGTCAATAGTTGTTCCTCTCTATTTTTAACTTTCTCCTCAGAGTTCTCCAGCTTATTTGTCAAATTCCTCTGCTTTTCAAAACGAATTCGTAGTTGAAGACGTAGATCTACCAACAACTGTTAAAACAATACCATACAAACCTTTTGAAACTGACGCCCCATCCACATGCATCAGGAAATTTTTGTATCAGGATTTTTTCTTTCCCGATACGGCATCCGTCTACACGTATCCAGTGAATACAGCATACGAAACCGCAACTTTTTCAATCCTCCCTCCAACGCTCTCCCGAGTGGATATTTTTGAATACGCTATGAATCCGGAATCGTGCTAAATACGGATATTTTTTAATTCGGTGACGTTACAAATCGAGTCCCGGGCCGGGTTGTTCAAAGCAGGGTGCTAGAGTGAATCCAGAAACGTGTCGGATACGTGCACGTGTGGACGGGCGAATTCGATTTCAGACGTGGAACTTTTTAAATCCGGAAGGAAAAAGTTGCGGATTCGGAAATATCCGGGTACGTGTGGCCGGGCATAAGGCCCTGTCCACGTGTATCAGGATATTTTTGAAACCTGTTAAGCCTTCCGTCCACACGTAAACGGAGTTTTTATCAGTTTTCAGGCACCAAAAACACAAGTTTTTAAAAACGGTCCCAGAGTGAAAATTTTGAAAACGCTGGATTGTGGTTATCGTTTGCTCTGGGGGTGAAATGAGATGTTAATCGAATTTGCATCGTTTTTGCGTTTTCGAGTGAAAGGGCAAAAACGATTTGAATACTGTACGTGTGGATTTGAAAGCCAAAAAAAATCAGTTTTCAAAAATATCCGGGTACGTGTGGACAAGGGCTTTTATTTAATTTGGTTGTTTTGTTTTTTCAATAGAATTAATTTTTTTAAAACATGGTTTTGTATGATTTACGATAAGAAAACGTATTGAAGCATTCAAAATAGTATATAAAACAAAACAAGTAGTATAGAAAGTGAAGTTTCAGCGTCCCCTCAAACAAACTGTACGTATGCAAGTACACGTATCCAGATTTTTAAGGCAGCAAACTTTTTCTTACAAAAAGCTGCAAATTTGCCTTCGTATTTATAAATACTGCAGAATACCCAGCCACTTGGAAGCTATTATGCCCTTATAACAGTGGCTACGTGGCTACACGGCTACCTAGTTTCCTACGGTTAGGGGTTAGGGTCAGGGTTTAAAATTTGAATCAGATTTATTGACAAGGTGTCACGCTCCAAGTTCTCTAATCCCACTTCGACCCTTGTGGAAAAAAAGAAACGCATGTAGTTGAGGTATAGAGTGTTTTCACACGACGTCACGAAGGCCTGGTGTCCCGAAACAATGAAACGGCAGCCGTGTTGGTGTTCCAAACCAGCCCTGTGGGAGTTGAACTCTCTTCTTATGCAAACGATTTTTTTGTTGTATAGATGCATAGATGCTGGCTACGTGAGTGAAAATGCTCTATAATTCGATCTTTAAGCATTGAGCCGAAACAAGCGTAATACACATGTAATATTCCTCGATTTTGAAACCATCAACATAAACAATTACATGCACATGTATACCTCGTCCTTTTAGTTATTCAGGCAGACCCGCAGCTGCGTAGCTGCGTAGTCCATACTGACAAGTACTAACCTGCTTGATTTCTTGAATGTCTGGTTCTTCGCATCCTTCAATCCCATGCAGTATCCTCGTAATCCTGTCCGGTTCTCTCGGTTGTCCATACACAAATTCAAGAAACGATCTTTCTGCAGACACGCTATCAATATCCATGTCTACAAGAAGTCGATAGAATGTCGTGTTCAATGCGTGTAATTTTATTAGATCACAATCGGTATTGTTTAATTAACAAAATGGTCTTCGCGCGAGCTGCCTACAATTTAGCAGAAGGAGGCCTGGGAACAACATTATACCTGCCTCCTCCTTTCGTTTTTCGCTCAGAGGCGAGTGCGAAACGCAAGTAACTGGTGACAAGGCGCAAGTGACGATGGGAATGAGTCCCGCCTTCCTTCCCGACAATTTTCATCGAGAGAGAGACGTCTAGTAACAAGGCAGAGATAATACGGTTTGGTAACCCTCGTTGGTACCCATTAGGCCTGCGTGAGCTTCCCGCGCGTTTTCGCAGCATTTTTTCCGCTTTCGCCAGACAAACCGCCAGCTATACAGGCTATAACCCATTCCAGTACAGACAGGATAAAAATCAGCCGAAATTCTGGTCTGTTGTTTTAGTAGAGGAGATATGTGCTTGAATTGTTCACTTTCTGTTAAAAGCATCAAATTTGGCATGATGATAGTTTTCAAGGCCCTAAAAAAGATAGGATATGGTGTCTTCGCCAAAAAGTCCGTTTAGTGCGTAAAATAAGAGTTTTAAAACGGCGGCCATTTTGAACCGGAAGTGAAATTAACATTTTCTTTAAAACGTCTGAATTTCAGCAACTTGGATAAGAAAATGTCAGAAAATACCTAAGGCGGCTGTTTTTTCATACAAAGAGATATTATTTCAATTCAAATTGTCCAAAAAAATTGAATAGAGATGTTATAAGGGGCCGCCAGCTAGACCGGAAGTAAAACTACCCGAGTCGTAACTTTTAAGGAATGAGCTTAAACTTCTGTTGTGCCTGCTAGTTTTCTTTAATATTTTATTTGAATCTAATCTATACCCTCAATTTACTTTTTTTCATCGTGTATAATCTATTGCTCGGTGACTTAATGACTTGACACTTCACGTAGACGAGTGCTTGTAATCGAAAAAAGAGTTTGGGATTGCCTTTCACGATTGTCACTCTTCTGGGCACAGCCCTTCTTACGAGAGTAATAGACTAGTTCCACCTTCAACTTTGTAATTTCTGACAGTGGTATGCAGGAGAGTCGCCACTTTCCTCTTAGAGATATCCAGCCCCAATCTTGCAGACTAGGAACCGAGATGCTTGATACCAGTGCCTGGTGACTCCATATGTGGCCAGCATAGTTTGCCGTGCCCTTGAAATGTTTAAGTAATGCAGGCCGGGTCAAAGAAACTACTTTTGGCTTCGTCAGTTGACGGCAAGGAACTACTTTTTCTATTGTATAGAAGAACATGTAAGCGAAAACAACTCCGATTATTTCTGGAGGTGACCAGAAGTATTCACCGTGTCACATCCTGTGGATGCATGGAACGGCGGAAGTGCAAGTGCAGCCTTTTTAGTAACTACGTTAGCAATGTCGTAGGCTGCAAGGTAGCGTAGATGTACATCAGTACCAAGATATATGATAGGAAAGCTAACTTGGCTTCATAGTAGAGAAGCTTCATGGGTAGTTGGAACGGAGCGTGGACTTAACGAAAATGTCTTGGAGACAAACAACATAGAGACTTAACTTATATTTTAACATACTATATCTTAGAAGAAGGGAATCTGCTTTGTTATATAGCATAAGAATGAATGCGATCAGGATCTTTAAATAACTGACGACAAGTGCTGCCTTTTTAATGTCATCGGCAAACGCCTTAGACTTTTTAGTCGTCTTGGAATAAAAAAAACCCGTAAGCCCCGTCTCACAGTCCTTGTTCATATAAAATGCTGTGGGAAGTTAAAGAACCCAGACACTGTTTGTAAAGAGTAGGCTGAGTAGGGGACCCATTTACCTTCCAAACGGATTTTCCGAAAACGTTAAACTTTGAAATGAGCAGACGTTATCGTGAAGGCAATTTCAATCCAATATGTACATGTACATAACACAAAATGGTGGAGCTATTATACCTCAACTTACTTTGAAAGCCGCAAAGCATTCTGTATTCTAGTTAATAGTGTATCAACTCTTTTAACCCTTACAAATTCTTCAAACTGGTCTCTATACATTTCCTTAAAAGGATACGCTGAGAGAATGTGATGAAAGATCAAAGCATTTTCTCTTAGGTGATCATTTTATTAATTTCTAAAAAACCTAATCTCTTGACCTTCTATGGATATTGTGAGTCAGAGGAAAGTTGATGTTGGTCACTATTGGGGCTTAAAAGGTTAAAATAATTAAAAACAAATAATCTGTTTTTTGCTAGTTTAATTTGTTCGTATGTTTTGCCTTTCCTATGCTCAAAAATGCGAATCATTGTTTCACATTTTTTGTAAATTCACTACTGAAATAAATTGCTTTGAATGAGTTGCATTTTCCATTTTATCCCGCTTTTACTTCCGGTTTTCTCATTTAAACTACTAATTTGTAACACAGTTGACTTTTTTATACGACCTACATATCCGGAAAAAACATAGAACAATTTCGTCGTCATTTTGACCTCAACATGCTAAATTTCGTGTACTTTCGGTCAGGTTTTTTTTACTTCCGGTCAAAATGGCGGCCGATTTAGTACTAACGCCAAAAACCGGTTTAACAGGAAAAATTTGCGATCGCACCATATCACATATTAATAGTCATAATTGGTTCTGTTATTCCTGAAAATTTGGTGCTTTTAACAAAAAGTGAACAATCAGGCCCCGAATCTGAACATATCCGCCCCACTATTTCGGATGTATTCGAACCTCAAGTCCTCGAATGCAATGTAATCTTATCCAACTTTCCAATTACAGAATGCTCAGCATCTCCAGACGGATGAGGTAGTTTTCGTTCCACATAGAACGATGCAAATTACTCATTTCTGAATCTGCTTATCTTTCAGTTTAAGCAGTAAATTAAGTAAAGGGGTAAAAAGCGAAATCAGGAAGGATGGATCTTTGCACAGCTAAATCGCTTTTCTTATCTTGGTTAAAAATCCACTGAAAATTTCGCTTTAAACCTCCTACTCTCTCCAGATTAACTTCCCTCTTTCCAGGAAAGTTAGCTAAGCACAATTCCACGAAAGAAAAAACAATGTGGGCAACAAAACTATACTTATATACCAATTTTAGAATACTGTGTAAGTGTGTGGGGCTGTTGCGGGGAAGGTCGTAAACAAGACCTTGAAGCCCTCCAAAACCGGGCTGCTAGGATAGTGGCTTGTACTGTGCGCAGCAAGCAGGCATTGGACGTTCTGAAATGGGCCACCTTGGAGGAGCGTCGACGTCAATCTGTTTTTAAACTCGTTAAGAAATGCCTGCAAGGTCAATGTCCTCAGTATTTTAAACAATATTTTAAACGTAATAATACAATCCATGCGCGCGCTACTAGACAAAGCAACCTCTTACATCCGCCTGCTGTGAGAACTGAAATTGCAAAAAGATCCTTCTATTATTATGGTTGCACTCTTTTTAACGAATTATCTTAATGATATTTCGTGTTTTACATCTGTTAATCTCTTAATTGAAAATAGTTTTCTATTTATATTATTACCTGTATTAGTGTAATGTTTATATGTTTAGTGTGTTTTTGTGCGTTGTTGCTCAGGGCTCCCATTGATAACAGACAGCTTTTTGCGTCTGAAGGGGCTACCTGAGCGGTATAAATTAATAAAGGTTCTTCTTCTTTTTAAAAAGGCAAAGGAAAGTAGGAGACCAAAAGAGAAAGATCAAAGATTACAAAAATGGCTTATGCGCATGTGCCTAAAACAAAAGCGAATCTCAATCAAATCCAATTGGCAGAAAATACCATTTACGGTTGCGAATCTCCGTTTTGGCCATTTCCATCTAAATCTCGGCGAACCGCCCCAAAAAGGAGGATTTGTGATTGGTGATTGATTCGCCAGCAGCTACCGGTTTTCCGGACGATTGAAGTTAGAAAGCTTTTATGACTGTTTAAATTTGAAACTATGGCCGAAGTAGACACAGAATGCTTCAAAAAGATTCATCGAAACAAACAAACACCCGAGAAAACGACTCAACTGTGAAAACATTAATGATCGTGACGATCTCTTGCTTGACCTTGGCTCACAAAGTCTGTTACGCATGCGCGAGATATTCACGAATAACAAATGGCGGGAACCTTCACTCGCTTCCTTTTAGGCAGGATATACGTCTGCAAGCACCTTCAGGCAATGATCACTCTAATCAATTAAAGAGGGACCAGTTTTATCAAAGTGAGAGTTAGCAATGGGTGCGTGTTTTTTAATTAGGTACTATTTCTTGAGATTCAACCAATTAATATTTTCTTAGCTTTGTTAGAACACCATAATGCAGTGCTTCATACGGTAACTCAGGCGGCTCTATTGGAAGCTACTGAAAAGACGAGAAAGTACTTGACTTGATGAATTTTATTAAAAGTTAAAAGCATGGTTCTGAAGCGCCAGCTGAGGGAAGCGATCAGTTCTGCCATATTTCACAAAACTCTTGCTCCGTACTGACTCGGGAAACTGGTCCGCGCCTACCCTTTTGTATTCCTTCAACAGCGAGGCTGGCATCTCGTTATTCAGTCGAACAAAGATGACTTTTTTTGGTTAAGAACTCCATGCCCAGGTCTTTCTCTTTCGACAACCGTTCAATGTGTTACCGAGGTAACAGTTCATGCTTTTGTAGTAGGCGGTTTGAGCACGTTTCCGTCAGGATAGCGTTTTTTAAAGCGTGCTGTAACGTCTGGATCTAATAAACGCACACCATCCAACTGATTTCCCAGAGTAATCCTGTTGAAGAAAAACATGCAACACATCAGGCAGGAGAAAACCGTTTTCAAATATTTTCTGACCTAAAACTTTAAGAGATTCACCACTTAATTAACATAAGGGGGAATAATACCTAAATGTAATCTTGTCTAGTTTGTAGGCCTCAATATTCCGCGTGGCCTATGCGTTTCGGGTCACGTGGTCCAAGCAGGGTTTTGAGGGCGTCTCCCGGCTGTTCGACTCGGATACATCACCGAAATGCATTGACCGAGAGGGCCTGGGAAGACGCCGTACAGGGACTGGGCAAAATGTAATCAGCATGGCCAGATTTTGATACTCGTCCAAAAAAAGGGGACGAGGGGTCTCCGAGCTCGTTATTTAATACATGGCACTGTAACAGGTCAATGACACGGAAATCCTGGTCATCCGTTTGTTGAAATTCTTTCAAATGAATAAAAGAAAGATACGATGACCAACTCGAACAAAGATAAGCTTAACTTTTCAATTTGCAATCTTTTTCTGTCTTTGTTCGAAACAAAAGGCAACCATTGATAGTTGCCTGCACTTACAAATTTATTATTAACAAAAAAGGAACTGATTGCAAGGATATTTTCACTGTTGCAAATACATATTCACATCTCGTGACAGCACCCTTTAAAGCTAAAATGGAGAAAGGTTTTCCTGTTGCCTTGGTGACGACGTTTTAGATATGCCCACAGCACAGAATGTTCCCGTATTCCGCATTTGTTCGATACGGTATGCATCATGTATGCATTTTTACAGGACCGAATGACGAAGAACATTACATGCGACTAGCTTTTTACCAAGGTGCAAACTCAATTCAACTTATTATGACTTTAAAACAGTACAGGATCTCAGAGTTAAACGATTAGCATCAACTGATTAAAATATCATACAAAATACTTTACAAATTACCGCCGAGGCTACCTACCAGTTAGGTTGAACATTGTGCTGTCTGCCAAACAGTTCTGGAAAATACAAAATGGAAATTCAAAATTTTTCAATTTTTAGTCACATTTTAACGGAAACAGGTGGGCAAAAACAGCCTAATCCAATGCTGTATCTAATTCGAAGATTCTGTATTTACCAAGGTATAGAGACAGGAAACTAGGGACTGCGTCATGACATCACTACTGAACAATAATATCCGTAGACTACCATAACTAAGAAACTTGGGAAACAAATGTTCAGCATGGAAATACGTATTAGGTAATAATAAACTAAGAGGTTACCCCTAACTGAACAAAGTACATACCAATCTTTCTTGTCCCGGGTGCAAGCCGTTCAATCACTCCATAAATTTCATCAGGCTTGTGACTTGTTTGTCGAACCTAGGAAAAAAAATACACGCAAAATTGAACATTATTTACCTAATCAACGCGTTCAACGCAAGAAAACGCATCTTAGACCCCGTCCACACGAATCAGGATATTTTTAAAAACGGCTATTTTTTTTCTCCGTTTAAGCCTACCGTCCCCATGTGAGCGGCAGGCGTTCCGGCGCCAAAAAACAGGTTTTCGAAAACGGTCACCAGTCAGAGTTGAGTTTTGGAAAACGCCGTCTTGTCGTTTTCTTGTGGACGGACGAAAACGGAGCTTTTCGAACACAACGTTGTCATGTATACAGCACATACTCTGTAAGAGACGCTATCGTACATTATTTCCATCGTTTTAGCGTACTGAGCAGTTAGCACTGACTAACGTCAAGTGAAGATATCCGTGATGTTAGTATTTTGGCATTTGACAGTTCTTCACAAACCTCAGCAACAAGCACGTCACAGTCCAGACCTCGGTTAAAGTTCTTACATGCTCCTTTCACACCAACCTGTAGATGAATAAATATCCTTAGAAGCCACGGATTTGAGATTCAAAGAAACTAGAGATCACTGGAAACCCCAGACAAACCAAAGCAAACCAGCGAGGTTTTGGTTCAGTGGTCCAAGGTCCTCTCATTTTCATGTTTTCTATACTCGGTTCGCGTTTCGATCACAGCGGATTAAAAAAGCATTAAATAACGTAGGTTGAGTTCCTGACATCGCGACGTAATTGACCAATCAGATCAATAACCAGAGTATAATACCATCAGCTGGCGTGATACAACTCACTTATGACTACCGCACAGGTTGTCGAAACGTCACTCACTGTCAACAACAACAGTCCTATTCAGGACTACGTTCACCCGGACGATCAAACTCAACCTACTTTTGAAATGACTCCTGGGTTCAAAACTCTCACAAAGCATTAACTGTTGGTACCTTAATAAAAGACTGTTCTAGAATACGTTATGCTTGATTATTGAGTGGAATCAATGTACGTAGCTAAACAATACAATAGAACCCTGTTAATTCAACCCAGCTGGTCGTATTCGTTATTACGACCACGTTCTTTCATTCCAAACTTAAGAACACTCAGTCATTTTCGTTCCTTTCAATTTTGTTAAAACTACTAGATTTTAAGTCTCTGGCCAGCTGTCATAATACCCGGAGCCCGGAATGATTTAAGACAATCCACTGTATAGTTTCTGAAACACCTTTAAATTACTAAAATGGAGGTAAAAAAAAGCTGGATAGTTCAAAACCCCTGACAGTAATTTTTACATGGAACACCACTACTCATAACAATTTTTTGATAGGCTTTGAGTTCTTCCCTTTCTCCTTCCACCCAAGCAACATTGTGCCCAACAAAATAAACTTTTTTGCACCTGTCTTGCTCGAAATTATACATTGTTTGGGGTGGGAGCGGGAAGGGTAGCCAGTTTTACTAATAATATCTTGGCAAACACGTCAAGTATCCCAAAACTTTTGACCTCCATTGCAGCACTCTGCCGCGTACATTCACTGAATCACGAAACTGCCTCTAAATTCAATTTGGACAACTTACATGCTTGTCCCTCCCCTCCCACACACCCTAAAACAAACGCGCGCGGTGTAAAGCTTTACGTCAGCATCTCTCCTACCAAGCAGTGTTCTTTGCCGTGATTAAGCCAGTGCCCAGTCCTTCCGGTTCTTATCAGTCGCTGAAGTTGGTTTGTTTTCACCCAGATGAGCTCATCACATCTTGCATACCTGACAAATAGTGTAAAACACTTATAACGAGTACTGAGTTGCTGTTTTTAAAGGGGCTACGTCACGCTATTTACTATCGTCAGATGACAAGGATGAACATGGATTGAAACTTGAAAAGTTAGCTGTGCCTGCAAAAATCCCAAAACAAATGATTATGCTTAGTTCTCCCTGATGGAATTTGTTGATATCTTCTTCATAACCCAGGAGAGGTTTGTGCATGAGTAAAGGCACTTAGTAATGACTTCGGCACAGAATTGATCAAAAACAGCAATATCCTCTTGACATAAAACCTTTAATATTAAACAGAATCAGAAGCCTGCTAAAACAAAGAACAACGGGTGTTTTTACTATTCATAACTTACCCCCAAAGCTTTAAACACTCTCGACCCAGTTCCATCGCCCTAAGGACAAACGATACAATAAGCAAGAGTGAAATGGCAAACAGCACAGAAAACGTGAATTTGTACCACTATGACGGTACCATTTCCCCCTTTCCTTGTCGTTCACTGCTTACTACTTCTACACAAATATTGGAAGACTCACGACAGTTTTATCCACAAGTATTGTTTTGGACAAATGTTATCCTCTCACTTTTTTCTTTTTGAGAAATTCTCAACCTGAATCTGAATGTTTGTCGTTGCCGTAAACGTAACTCTCTATTATTCATTGTTGTGGAAATAGCTGACACTATAACTTTCGCATTAATTTTAGAGTAGGTATTAGTAACGGAGTGAGCAGTGAGCAGTTATCACCGATTGCTTTTCTTTCCTCGACGGAAAAGTAGGCAGATGCCTCTTGTTCTGTCCTTGTTTGTCGGGGACATGAATGTTGGGGTCTCTACTACGGAATTTAGCCAAACACTGAAATCGCGGTAAAAGATACTGGTATGCACGCAATACTTACCTACCAGTCACCCAAAGGAATATGTATCCTTCATCTTGAAGTGAGGGAACATCCAATTTGCGCATTTCATCATCTGACATGGTGCCGTAAGGAAGCTAATGATTGAAAGAGAACAAAACATTCAACTTAGCGGTTAAAACCCTTCTTTTGGAGCTAGGGTGCACACTTGCAAGAGTGGAGCATGCCTTGTGTGATAATTCTCCTGAACAAACCGAATTACGAACAATAGTCGTCTTTTTGAGGCAAAAACCACATATATAGATTTCCACCACCACGGACAAATTATGTTCGCATCAAAGCTTAAGAAATACGAGCAACTTTTCTCATACGACTTATCGGCCAATGCTTGTTCTTATACACATTGTCAACAAACGCGCATAGTTGGTAACACGCCGAGAACTCCAGTCAAACTACGACCCAACACTGCCATATTTCTCATCCTTTCCTTCGCTAGTACGGTTGCCAAATGACTAACTCTGGGAGAATTAGTCTACTACTATTCCCCGCGATGTTCCTACATATTTATATCTGTGCCCTTTCTAAGTTGCTAGCCAGTTTAATAACTACATTGTATACAGAAAAATTATAATTAAAGAACAAACTGTAAATATACCTCCATATGTATATCCCATGGTGGGTCAGCCATTACAACAGCGAATTTTCCCAGAACAGTCATATCAAGGTACCGCAAGTCACACTGTATCCACTGGAGAATCAAAACAAAAAACTGTCTTTAACTGTAAACAGGGGAATACTGGCTACATTTATAACATCAAAAGAAATACCGGAATCCAATCCAATTTCCAGGTTTTCCATGACCTGTGCGAACCCTGTAAGAAAGTAATCACCGTATTTATTCGGCGTTTATTGGATTTTCATGCAGTGTTTTCGATGCGGCGTTTGTTCAAGGGCGGCGTTTATTTCTTAAATCACTGACAACAATGACGATAAATCTTTTACAAATTTCATATAAAACAGAACGTCCTTTAAGTTCCAATGTTTCAATAAATCTTTTACAAATTTCATATAAAACAGAACGTCCTTTAAGTTCCAATGTTTCGATTTTTTGCTGAGATAGAATGGTAATTGTCTGTTAATGGTGTAGATTACCAAGTTGTACTGAGGTTTTCTATAATCCTCGAATAAACAACGCATTCAAGGCGGCGTTTATTGTAATTTCTCTTCTATCTGCGGCGTTTAATCGATTAAATACGGTGCGTGCTGTAAAGATTTCTTAGAAAAGATGCAGAAAATCAAGAAAAGAGAACGAAACGACCATGTGCTTCACCAATTTTTATCCTGTTTATCTCGTACAGTTACCTGGAGGCATGAATTTGTTATCTGCCACACAACTCTGACAACGAATTAGAGTCAGTGACCGAGTTGCGACATTATAATCCATAATGTAGACCTTTTTACATACCTGAGGTGGATAAAGTATCACTTTATTGTCCTCTTCTACCGTCTTAGCAAGAGAAGACTGACGAGAAGAACGTAGACACACAACAATGTCAATATCATTACAATCAGATTTGGTAGCAATTATCCTTCACCTTCTATTTGGAGACAATTACTCCCTGTCTTATTGTGGTTATATTGCTTTCAAGTGTGAATCATATAATCAAATTGTGAGCATAACAGCCTAACTTGTTGTTTCGCGCTGCGTGTTTCGCAAGCTCCGAAGTGATTTTGGGTTTTTCTAAATGGGAGCGAGGTTCATACAAATCACGATGACGCAACGTACGTAGGAATCGCAAGCTCCTTCGAAGTTGGCAAAACTGGTGACGTTATACCACAAATTTAGCTGTTACAAAACAATTGAAAATTTATTGGACGAATGACGTAAATCTCTAAAATTTGGCAAGCAAGAACTTTAAAATATATTACGAAGAATCAAAAAGGGAAATTCAAATCAATCAGAAAAAGTAAAAATAAATAAATGATTATCTTGGCGCATTTTATTTACCTTCTCTTCTTTTTTCTTGTCTTTTCCTTTTTCCTCTTTGTTCATCTCGACATCACTATAATCAACTTCATAGTGAACATACTAAATAACAAATAAATAAGCAAATATATAAAAATACAAATACAGCATAGTGAATTAAAATGTGACTAAAAAGAAAAGAAGTCTACAACAAGGAAGTCAACAAGTCTTTGATTTATTTTTGAGACTAACACAAACAGATTGTAGGAAACCGTGATATTTGGTTGCTTTATTTTTTTGTTTTGCTGTTATAATTTGGGCCATGGTGAGCTTTTGTAGTGCGAAGAGTATTTTAACCGACCACAGCTATCCCCTTGGCATAATCGTATATTTTGCATATATCTGACAGTTTCAGAATTAATAAATTAAACCAGCATGGTTGTAGCTTTTCTAAAAGACTCAAAAAAAAAAAAAAAAAAAAATATAAAAATGTAAACACATTATTTTTAGATATTTAAATTAATTTTAATTGAGGACCAATTCACTTTAAAATTTTTTTTTTTAATTTACGTTTTTAAAAAAAAAAATACTAAAAAAAATTCTATAGAAATATTTAAAAGACTAAAAAAAAAAAAAAAAAAAATCTCAAAATGTTAGCTCATTATTTCTGGATATTTAAGTTAATTTTCAGTGAGGGCCAACTCACCTTGCAAGTGTCCATGTGAAAACACGTGTTTAGAAATGAACAATCTCCAAGAGATTCTATGGAAATAATGAATTTACTATTCCAATCTTGTTTGCAGACAATAAATATATATTCTTTTTTCTCATGGTACAAAAAAAATTAACTTAATACGCTCCAGGCAATATCCACATACAGACTCTCCAGACTGATCTTAGACATTCCTTAAAGAATAAGTTGAGATAATTCCCCCGGATAAAGGATCAAAGTTTGTTTTCCTTCGTTGATAATTTATTAATTCTAGCAACCTTTTCTCTTGACAGAAGATTGATGTTGTTAATAGAAAACAGATATTGACCTTGAAGGAAAACTTACCATCTGTATGTTTCTGTATAATTTTTCGGAAATGGACCTGTAAAAAAACAACAGACCCTTTAATTATGTTTTTCAGAGTGTCTACGAATACAACTAGGAGTAATCGGAGCTTAGGAGAGTGCGTTCGATATGTTTGGTAGGCGTACAGGTAGCAGTTGAGAGGAAAGTGTGGATGGCTCTTGCGATAGATAACTATGATTATGGCATATTTTGAACGTAAGGGTTGCGTACAGCGAAACCCCGATTTAAACTGAGTATGATAATGAAAAGGTTTTGAAGGCTAGTGATCAGCGTGATATCGTATGGTTCGTCTCAAGTGGTTGTTATTTGAGGAGACACTGGCCAGAGTGCTTCGAGCGTGTAAAAAGAACTTTGTGTTTTACTGGCGAAATAGATGTTCTACAGGGCGCAGTTGTTCGAGGGCCGATCAGCGCTTAACCCGGGTTTCTTTTTCGTTTGTTAAAAAAACGTTGCTTCATTACGTATGAAGATAACAGGTTAAGACATTTTAGGCAGAGAGGAAAGACAAACAAGTGGACATAGTAATGAAACCATTATTGCATAATAAACAAGAATACCGTTTCAGATAACATTAATGTTTTTACAGTGGCATGGGCAGATGTATACATTCAACTCCCTTTATTGCAGACACCCTCGGACTGCGGTTTAGTGTCCACAATGGCAAGAGTCATAATTGTGGGGTGTGAGAAAAAATTTCTTGATATCAGAGGAATTACACTTATTTATATTGTATATTGCCTCCAGAAACAATTAACAATTATTGGACGAGGTAGAGCAAAATATCGTGATTTGTCAGTGGCGAGCAGATCAATTATTTGCCGAAACCGAAGGCTGAGGCAAATAATTGATGTGTGAGACTTTGGCAAATCACGACATTTTGTGATAACCGAGTTTAATAATTGTTTTATCATTCGATCACCAAGTTTGCATTTTAATGAATATCTTCGGGAAGCGAAGCGATCTGCCTTTTTTCATGCAAGAACGCATCACGTGTGGTTTCGTTTACACGTGAGCAGAGTGTTATTTGCAGCCACACACAGTTGAACGACATTGGGCATGAGCAGACCATTATTTGTAGGCAATTATTTGCAGGTCACGTGGTGGGCTTTCAGCCAATGAAAAGGAAGAAAAATTTGCATCGAATGATAATAAGTTTTATTGTACTGCAGTTTTCGCATATCATTCTTTATTATTCTTTATTGAATTCGCCACGGTGACTCAACACGGTGACAGGGGATGAAACAGGACTTACGTCCCAGTTGGGGAGCATCGTCAGAACTTTATTTACATACAATACAAATCGTAACAGAACAGTGAACTATCCCTTTTGTTCACCACAACAGTCTCTGAACAATTTGCAGTACCAAAAAACCATAAAATATGGTACCAGAAAATCCACCCTATGTACATCATGACTGTTCTTTGCAAGTAAGTACGGGATTTTCTTAGAAGGGAGGTGTTGCATGTAAACGGGAATCGGAACATTCAGAAGTTCGTGGGAAAAGGGTCAACAGAGGAGCTGGCTTATAGAATTTCATATTCCAGTTATTTACAAAATTAAAGGTGCAAAGAAGTATTCGGAAAGACTCGGCCACCTCATTCATAGCAGTGAAACTGCAACATTGTCGTTAAGAAGAAGGACTCTCCAATAATAACATGCAGAAGAAGAAGCACTGATCAAACCAAAGTGACAAAGGTTCATGAAGAGAGACCGAGGAGGAAATAAATAATAATTTGAGATAATTCTGCCTAAATGTTGAAAGATGCTGATCGATGTCCATTTTAACAGGAATTAGAAAAATAAAATTGGGCTGTTGGGACCGAGAAAGGCGTCAATAATAGCAAGAGTTTGTTTCAGTGGAATGTCTGTAAGTTTCAACAGGGATTTAGCAGCTGTCCCTATCAGCAGGGTGTCCCTACTAGCGAAGTGTCCACGAGGCGAGAGTTTACTGTATTAGGCTGTCACACAAATTTATGTATTCCTGGCTGGCAGTCTATGAATAACTGAAGAGTAATATCTAAGTAAAAAACTCCTTTTTTTTTTCAATGTAAAAACATACTCAAATACTTGCAAATACTCTCAACTCCCTTTATAGCGGTCACTGTAGGGACCTTGAGTTACTATCCTCATTAGCAAGAGTTCGTAATAGCTAGCGAGAGTTTATTTCAGTCAAACTACTGTAAATTGTTTTTGCCAGGGATTTACCTGCTGTCCTTATTATCAGGGTGTCTGTTGTAGTGGGGTGTCCGCAAGATGAGAATTGACTGTATTAGCAAAATGTAATGTTCTTTGTCATTTCAAGTTTACCTTTCTACAAGGTTGACCCTGTGGGTTGTTCCTTCTACAGTCTCCTCTTGTACCATGATCACAGAACTCATGAACAAATGCTCCCCCTTGTGATTTGAACTTTTCTACTGTAGATTGTTCCTAAAAATGTTATTCAATGCAATTAAAATGACATTTAAGTATAGTGCTAATAATTATAACTGCATCAAAGAAGAATCTGCTTTGGAGTAACCTCATTTTATATTGCTGATAACATTTGAGCAACTTGAACAAAATATTCGGTTGTTTTGAAATTTAATACAGACACGAGCAATAAAATGATTTGAATTTAAAAAATAAAATTAGGCAAACTAACACAATACACCATACTTAGTGGAAGTCTATTATCATTACTGAAGGTATTATAAGAATTTTGCAACCATTCCACAACAACAACAACAACAACAACACTTTATTTCACCCCATAATATACAAGAAATAAAAATTTATAACAATAGTACAGATGATGATAGGGGCGCTGGCTGCCCGAAATAACCTAAGAGTTAAAAATGCCAGGCAGCCAGTTAAAAGAAAAGATGTTTAAATGTTTGTGACTGAAGACTCATGAACCCCAAAATTTTTAGTGATGTACTAGTGAGCAACGAAAATTTTCGTGCCCCGGGCGAGCATGGTTTCTTCTTCTTCCAGGTGTAAATGTTCACTGGAAGTGTAAGTGTGCTGCTCACTAGTACATCACTAAAAATTAAAAAAAAAATCACTAAAAATTACTAAAAATTAAAACAAAAAAATGCAAAAAGTATCAGATAACTTATGCACATTTCAATGTACACCACCACCCCCCACCCTACCCCACCCCAGCCCAGGAGGAGGGGTCAGGCGGCAAGGTAAGCTGAGGGAGGGATTTGAGAGTCAAACAAGGTTGACTGAAATTTAATTTTGACACGTAAAATATCCAAATGGCTGATTGTTGAGACTACCAGAGGGTGGGGTGTTTGACTGAGTTGCCAATAAGTATGTCAAAATCCAGCAGGGTTGCCTGACCTTCCCCACAGGACACTTTTAGGACAGCTTTTTTCTAAATCTTCAATCCTCACCTTGTGTGACGGGACATTGAGCAAATCCAAAATTTCATCTCCAACTTTTTTATTCTGGATAAAATGGATTAAAAAATGTGAATGATGAGAATTGCAAATATATAACTACCTCTTAAAAAATGGACTCACACAACAGCCTCCCATGAATTAAAACTTGGGGCTGAGAATTTCCCCCAGATGACATGACCCTGATTACTTTTATGGTGAAATAGAAAATAGAAATTCGCTAGAAATAGAAATTCACTGGCTGATTCCCTGCCTGCTAGCTAGCTGAATTTACCTGGCAACTTATAATCATAATGACAGCCCTGCATGAATAACAACCTTTCATAAAATACATAGAATTGACCAACTGATATCTGATCACGTTCTCCAGACAAAACACTATACACATACTATTTACTTACTTCCATCTCCTTTATTGTTGGCATGGATAAAAGACTCTGAAATTCACAATTAAAGGCATGTAATTTACAATATGGCATTATGGCCACAAAACAAGTCAAATAAGTCATGCAGAAAATATATCCAACACACATGCAACATAAAATTACACAAATTACTATAGTCTAAACAAATGTAGCGACCAACATCAGTCACAAAGAACTGCTGAGCATTGAATCTCATTCCACAGTTTCATATATTTCCACACAATCATAGACACTTCATGACTGAACCTGAGGGAAACAGTTTTAAATTTTGTCTGCCGAGGAAAACATTGAGATTTGAGGGAAACAAAATTAACTGTTTCCCCAGGGACCAGTCTTCAGGTGAATTGTTATATAGCTGGAAATTCATTAAACCTCGCTGCATAGCATTTTGCAATGTTACCCACTCAGAGATTTTGACAGGAAATGGTT